GATAGTAATAGCTGTTGATGGCTATTGCCTAGAACTATTATTTCATTACAATGATATTTTCATTATATTGTTTTTTCTTCATTTACTAGTCAATAGTTCTCTAAAGACAAACTTCCCCTCACCAAATATTTCATTATCCTGAAATGAAGTCTTAGAAGGAAAGGCAAGATACATGCTTGATTCTTTCTACTTACCAGTTGTTTGTTTTTAAATGATCCGTTAGCATCCTCTTAACCGGCTCTGTTTTCTCAGAAAGCCATCCTACACCTTCCTGCTTCCACCCTTTCCCAGGACACAGTCCCAGGACCCCACCTCACTGCCTGGGGGTCTGGGATCTTCAGCATTTAACCTGGGCAGCCAGGTGCTCAGACACTTCTTCTATTACAGTGGAGAAGGATCGTGGGCGGGTTCCTCTTCATTTCCTGTTAGACCATTGAGTGCTGAGGCAGTTCCTGGCACCCAGGGCTCTGCTCAGTGAGTGCGCTGACCACTCGAATAACCGGTCCAGTCCTCACTGCTCCTGTGCATTGCACACCCCCAATTTCCAGTTCAGCACAGGGTACTGAACTCCCTCCTACAGCCTCACTCAACCCAAGCTGCTGCTTCTCCCTGTTCCTTCCCGCTCCTTCTTCTCCTCCTTCTTTCCTCCTCCCTTCCGTCCTCCCTCCCTCCCCCCCTTCTCTTTCCCTCCCCTTTTCCCCTTTTCCAAATTCTCCTACATTTACTTCTGGGCCTTTGTTCATATTTTGCTTCCTTGACTCAATGTCTCTCCATTTTCCCAGCCTGTTAGAAATGGACCCACCTTTTAGGGTTCACTCCTACTGTGTCACTTCTGTCTGACTCCCCATTATCCTTGGTCATGGGAAGCCCCTCTTGAACCCCTCTTCATTTCCTTGTGGTTATGCCTTGCCTCCTGAGTGACTGTGGACCGTGCCTCTTCTGCAACAGGCTGCATCTAGACGCCCCCCCCTCCCCCCGCCATATTTAGCAAAGGGCTGTTGTGACACCATTCACAGGGGTGCACTGATTGAAGCACAGCTGTTTTGCACAGATGTTGAAAGCTGTATCTACCTGATGCCAATACAACCCGGAGAAGAGCAAGAATTCTGTCCTCAGTCTTGGGAAATGTTTGATGTCTACATGACTTGGGTGGTAGATTTACTTTCATTCATTGATTAAAAGGTAACGGTGGTCTTACTCTAGATCTGATGTTGGGCTCCAAAGAAGTTTTTGAAACAAATGCTTCTGGGCTCCAAAACAGGATGCTCTAGAGAACCCTGATGCAGGTGGTCAGAGTGGAGACAGAGAATGAGGCATCAGAGTGTGGGTCATGGTTCATGGTGCCAGTGCTATTTCTACCTTAAAGGGTCACGTTTCCCATTTTGGATCAAGAATTATAGGTTGACCTTCACCTTCCATTTTTTAATATTTCTTCCTGAGTCTTACATGCTAAGCCTGCAAACATGCTCTAGGTATCGTTTTAGGAAGGGGCAGAAAGAACATACAAAGAAAAAACCCTGATGAATGGAGTATTCCCTCGAATCTTTCTGTTCTCAAGAATATGCTTTACTGTACTTCTGTGGACTTTAACTAATGGGAGGGGGAGTAGAAAACAGTCATCTCAGCAAGATGGGAGACAATGGAAAGTAGGAGCAATATTAGGCTGTGTGCTGGGAAATATGGATTCTAGGCCTAACTCAACCAAGGACAGTTGTGACCTTGTTGATAACCCCATTTCTGAGCCTCAGTCCCCTCATTTGTTAAATAAGGGATGGGCAAGATAATAATCAAGTTTCATTCTTGGAGATACCACTGTATTTATGTTTCTAGAATTCTTTGTATTATTTACAGACTCCATAGCTATATTCTCATTTGATCCAAACCGTTAAGAGGTTTGACAGGGATTAGTATTATCCCATTTAGACAGATCAGTGCATTGAGGCTGACGAGTGGTAGGTGTTTACCACAAATGTCCTTAAAAGTGAGAATTCTCTTCCTTATCCACAATAATTCCTTCCTAGCGGGAAGCGTGTGCCTGCGTGTAAATGTCGGTATATGGGTGAGTGTGGGCATCTGTCATGTGAATATGAAGGCTACAGTCAGTAGGTGGGTTTCCCTAGGTTTACAGTGCTGATCTGTTCCTTGATCACTGCTTTTGTCTGATGGATGTTTCTATGTTATGGTATAATTTACACTAAATGTAATAAAATAACTAGGCAATCGTGAGCAGTAACAAGAGGGCAAGAAGTGGAAAGGAGAAATGAACAAGTAAAGAGGGAAGAACGAAGAGCTGAACAGCCAGGCATTATTCTATGTACTCTACAAATATTAACTTACTTGGTCCTCATATTAATCCTGTGAGGAAGGTGGCTACAATCATGCCCATTTTACAAACATTGAAACCAAGACCTAGAGAAGTTGGATAAGTTGTCCAAACTAGTAAGTGGCAGAGCAAGAATGTCAAGCCAGGTAGTTTGATTTCAGAGTGTGTACCCTGGGCACTCTGCAGTCAAGGTCAAGTTGGGTAGTCATAAGCCTTTGTGAGCTGTTCTTTAAGTAAGATTGAAAGAAAGAACAAATAAGCCAACAAACAAAGAACAATACGCACCCAAAGCTAGCAAGGCTGCGGAGGAATCAGCACACTACATACTGCTGGTAGCACTGATGAGCTTAATCTTTTTATAAGCAATATGTGGTAAGAGCCATGAAGGTTTCCATGCTTGTCAATTTAAGAATACCAATCCTAGAAGTTGATTCTCAGCTTGTAGTTTAACAAAAGCAATAAGCCATGGGCATGAGAAAGTTCATTGTACAATCTGCAGTAATGGAAAACTGGGAGCAAATTAAGTGTCTAAGAATAGACTATAATTAAGTAATTTCACAGTACCACTCACTTGTTGGAATACTATGAAAACATTTAAAATGAAAATTACAAAGGTAATTATATAGAAGGACAGGGAAATTTCTGGTAAAATTTTAAGTTTAAAAATCGGGATAAAAGATTATGATGATGAATCTGGATATATATATATATATATATATATATATATATCTCCTAAAATAGAACAGGAAAAAATTCTAGTATTCAGGTACTTGTTCAGTCTTCATTTTTAAGATTTTTATTAGTGGTGACATTGTGTTTTATTTGACAGATAATGGAAAAGGAAAGAATTGGTGGCGGGATTCGGTTGAAATGATCTAGAGTGAGGCTTGGGACTGTTGGGAGGTCTCCCCTGGCTGTCTTCATTCCTGAGTTCTCTGGGGACAGCTGGGGGTGGTTAGAGTAGGGAAGAGGATCTATGTGAGAGGAAGATGTACACTGAGATCCTGCCCTGCTGTCACCACTGGGAATGTGCTGTCACCCATCTCTGCACCTGGCAGGCATTCTGGTGATTGCATTCACATTTTAGCAGCGCTGTCTGTGCTGCAAGGGTTGGGGTCTCAGGAGGATCTGCTTCACCATCCTTCACGCCAACACACGCACAGCATGTGTTCAGTGAATGGTCCTCCTCCTTATCTCTGAAAGGGGGCAGATTGGGTCGAATTAGATTTCTTCCATTTTGTGATTTTACCATCTAGTTTTTACAAGATTCATTAAATAAAGGAGCCACTGGGTTTTGAAGACAAGTCCCAAAGCAGGAAATGGGCTCTGTCTTTCCCCTGTGGATCCCCCCATCGCCAAGCATACCTTGGTGTGAACTGCAAGCCTGATCCGAGGGTCATGCTGGGAGTTTTCTTAGCAGGTGGGCTGAGTACACGGAAGTCTTAGCAGTCCACTTGACCACAGGGATGCAGGGTGAGAGTTTTTTGCTGTCTTGCTTGTACTTGGAAGGCCAGCCACAGGCCACACATGACAGCATGGCTGTGCCTCCACATGTGAATCTGAAGAACCTCGTTGTCCTGATGTCATGTTTGTACCTGCCCACTGTGGAAGTGGGCGTGTCTGTGCACATGGCTGGCTGTGTCTGTCAGAGTGGGGCAAATGTTGCCTACATGATTGGGTTTTCTGGGTGAGCGTGTTTCCGTATAGCATGTGTGCACATATCTCAGGGGATGAGTGGCTTTCAATTCAACAAATGATTATTGCCAGCTCTGTGCGACAGGCAGGGTGTGTACATATCTGCATTGTGTACATATCTGCATTGTGTGTCCCCTCTGTGTGTCTTTGGGAATGTGTTGTGTTCTTGGCGCGCACGCTTCCTGCGTTCACAAGGCTTTTGGTGCGAGCATGACTGTGTGGCAGTGCCTGGATTCTGTGTGCGGCTGCTGGCTCGCTTTCCAGCTTAACTCGTGCCCGCAGTCAGGCTTGGCACGTGCGCCAGCCTCCACATGCAAGTCCCAGAGTGACCCATGTACAGTGTGCAAGGACCTCCGGGTCGTGTGCATTTGGTGCGCTCGTGCTTGTCTCTTCGCACGCACGAACGCACCTCCACATGTCTGAGTGCACGTCCCTCTTGGTGTGTGCAGGTTGCGTGTGCACGCCGCTCGATTCTGTGTGCAGGACGCTTCACGCGCGCGTGCTCCGACCTGCGGGCGACCAGGGATCAGCGCTGTGCTTCACGCGTCCCGCGGGGCTGACCCCCACCCCATCCCTTCGCGCTGGGCCGCGGGGCACCGCGATTGGCCGCCCGCTCCCTCTCAGCCGTCACCCCTCCCTCCCCCCGCCACCCGCGCGCCCGCGGTCCCCGCTGTCCCCCGCGGTTCCGGCGAGGCCGCGCCGCGCTGCGCTCCGCTCCCATTGGCTGCGCGCGCCTTTGTGTGGCGGCAGCTGCGGCCCCAGCGCCTTTGAATGTCGAGAGGGGCCGGGAAGGGAGCCTTTCCATGGGCCATCTGTCTCCCCGCCAGCCGCCGCCCCACCGCCGCCCGCGCCCCGCGCTCCGCCTCCCGCCCCGGCGGCTCCCGCAGCCCCGCCGCCGCCCGCGCCCGCGCCCCGGAGCCGCGCCACAAAGGGCCCGCGCGCAGCCGCCGCCGCCGCCGCCGCCGCCGCGCGAGGAGCCAGGATGGTCCTGGTCCACGTCGGCTATCTCGTGCTTCCAGTGTTTGGCTCTGTGCGAAACAGAGGTATCGCTTTTTCCTTTCGGGGTCCGCTTCGGAGCGTGGATCGCCGCAGGCACCGGGGCGGGGGCGGGCAGCGGGGGCGGCGGGGGGCTCAGGACACACCCGCGGGGACGCAGGGCTAGCGGTGGCTTCTCCCCTCTCCCTCTTCGGGGGACCCCCGAGTGTGGGGGCGGCCGTCCTCGTGGGAGCTTTTGTAGTGAAGTTAGGGTTTGGCGAATTTGAGTCCCTCCCTCCCCAGCCCCATTTTTAATTCTTTGCGGCGGACGCAATTCCCCGAAGTCACACAGCCCCTTCCCCTAATTCCTAGCCCTGTATGATCGAAAGACGGAGATACATGACTGTGTGCGCGCACGCGTGCGTGTGTTTGTGTGTGTGGAAACATACTTGGTTTTCTGTGATTTGCTTTTTTTGAGGTACATGTGTGTTTTGTGTTATTTGTGTTTGTATTTCATTTTCTGGCCATTAATACCGATGGCTGGGTATCTGGGATCTGGTATCGGTCCCATCCCATGCCCCAGCCCCCACCTTCTCTTGGGCACTGCACGATTTCCCGTCCCATCCTTTTCTCCCTTTAACCCTTTCTGTGTGTCGCCCTTGTGCTATCTTCCTCACCCCCCCCCCCCATTGTCTTTGTATGACAGTTGGATTCCTGGGTTCAAAATGCTTGGGTGTGTGTGTATGTGAATGTGTGCAAGAGTGTGCGCGCCTCGGAGAGCCAGGCATGCACTGCTGTGCACCCCTGGGCCCAGCCAGAGCCGGTGCCCGGCCCTTGGGTGTTGCTGTGTGTGAGGATGAGGTGGTAAGCTGCCCCACGCCAGGCCGCTGCCCGGGGCAGGCGTTGACCAAGCAGCAGGCCGGCGCCGGCTTTGTTTTTAACTGTGATATATGGGGTGTGTTTGCACGGTCCCCTTCCCCACGTCCCTTTCCCTCACGTTCTGCCACAATAGCTTGATACCCCCTCCCCCCATTTCTTCCATTTTCTTTTAATCAAAAAGTCCCACCTCCCAAAGCAAATCCGAGATGCATTTAGATTCATTTTTTTATTCTTTTTTGTATTCTGCTTCTGGACTCACATTTCTCTTCTTGGAAATGTTTCTTCTATCCTCTCCCACTCCACGTCTGCTTAAATCCCTGCTGGCTAAGGCCCTCTCCCTCCCCCTCCCTCACGCACAGAATGGTGTCTTCCCCTTGCTACCAGGGCTGCTCCTCCAAGACCGAGTGGGGTGGGGGTCGGGTCGAGGGGCCAGCGCTTTAGTGCGCCCCAGGGGCCCGATTGGGCGAGAGAATGAAAGCCCAGCCCTCTTTCTTCCAGCCCAGCTGTCCCCAACCCCGCACCTTTCCCCAGAACCAAAAAGGCAAGGTTGACCCTCTTAGGCCTGTTTGAACCGCAATTTTTTTTGTGTGATGATAGAATGATGACATTCTGCATTTATCAAATCTTTTTTTTTCTTCATTGTGTAGCTCAGTGAATGGTCAACTCGCTGCTGTGTGCGCTGTGACCCTCTGCCTCCGCATTTAGCTGTATTGTGACACCCCTCTTAACCATCTCCTGTCTCCATCTGAGGAAGGCATTGCTATTTAAGCGGCAGTATCCCCTATCTCAGGCCAGCCTAGCACTGGGGGGCGGTGGTGGAGTGGGTGTGTGAGCAATAGAATTGGGGGACTGGATGAGGTCTCCCTCGAAATGCCAGTCCCCCTCCCTCAAATCACAATTATGTCTTGTTACTTGGCATTTCCTCTTAAAACGGGTGTGGAACATTACACTAGGCAGAAATTCAAAAATGATTAAGAAGGATGTTGAGCCTGAAAGTATAATTATCTTGATTAAATCATTATCATCCTCATTAATACCACTGATCTCTAAATACCATTGCAGGATGCCGAGTCCATTTTTTGAAATTCAAATTGCTCAGCTGCCTTTAAATTTTATTTTTAATACCCCTTGCTTCGGACCCCCCCCCCCCCAATTCAACGACAACAAAATTCTGCCCTTTGGGTCAAAGTTTACTTTCATGGCAAACATGCCCACAGGAAATTCAAGGTCTGAGGGTGACTGGGCTGTGGGTAAAATCTAGCACAATGTGATAAGAATTCATGACCTTCTGATAGAGGATACTAATGCTTAACCCAACAAGGTCCTAAACCACAATCTTCTTGTAAAACTATTAGATAGCCTGCAAGCTTAAATCTGTTCTTTTTTAGTTTCCATTGTAGTAATATAGGATATAGGCCATTTCAGAATAGATGTAGAGAAATAACCATTTTTGTATCTTCATCTTGTTTAGCCGAGTACATTGCACTGTAAATCCCTGTTAAGTGGATTCCTTTTGCCTTGGCTTGGAGGCCATAGCACCCATTTCCCACTTATGTGGGTGGCCATCAGCTAGCTCTCTGGCAGCACCCAGGCATAAGTGAACAGATCACATTTAGTCGGAGGCAAAAGATAACAAATATATATCTGTGAAAAAAATCTTTGATGAAATGACAGTTGTGCTACTCCCTAGCCTCTGAAAATTTGGTGCAGCAAGGTCTCTGGCTTAAGGGGGAGCCATGGCCCAGGGTGTCTTAATTGTTTAAGTGTACAATGTCAAGAGCATCTTTGGACATCTGCCCTGGCCCTCAGAGCTGCCCCTTTAACAGCCGGCTCCCTTCTTCAGCCTCACCAGCCAGACCTGCTTGAAACAAAACAGAGCAATAATGAAAGAAGAAGGCCCCTATTCCAGGGCCCTTCCAAAATAAAGTCACAAGTGGCCTCCCCAGATTGCCATGTGGCAATCGGAAAGGAAAGAGGGTTGGGGAGAAGAAAAAAGAATCCCCAGCAAAATGGTTTTCCATTAAACAGGGATAGCGTGTTCTGCTGTGCTGAATTACTTCCTGTTCTTATTTTGTGGGTAATTTTTTTCTGTATCAAATATCCTTTTGGTTGTGTATCTTTTTCACCTTTTCTTGTACTAAAACTAAAGCATGATCTGTATTTTTTTACATCCCCCAGTTGACAATGTACAGCGCTCGGTTAGAGATGTTACCCTGCTGAACCGTACTGTGGTCGTGTAGCCCGGGCCATCTGCTCATTGTACGCTGCTTTGTTCTGTTGCCCTTCGAAGCATGGTGGGCCCAGCCTTTTTTTTTTCTTTTTTCTTTTTTTTTCCTTTTTTTGTATCGTGTGCATGACAACATTGTTACACACAGAATCCACTAATACTAATATACAATCTCTCAATAAAGAACTAGTTTCCTATATTAACCTAGTGTGCTTTTTCTCTTGCTGTTTCCCCATTTATTGTCGTATCCTGCTGTTTAGATATCCCCCTTGCTTTTCTATCCCCACCCTCACCCACCCACCACTCCCACCTCCCATTGTAAGATTCGAGTGAATGCCTTTCTTTTTTTTTTTTTTTCCTTCTTTCTTTTGTTTTGTGGTACAGATATGGTGACCTTAATCTCATCTAGTCCACATCTTTTTACAATAGACCTCTGAGGTGATGGGAGGGGTCAGTGGTCCTGTCACACCCAAACAGCTCAACTGCCTAGAGAGAACCCCTATCTTTGGCCACCTGTGTAGCTAGTAGCGTCCACATTTCATGTTGGTTTCCAAGTCACTGTCACTGGGTTTGTAATGCTGGTGAAGAGAAGGGGATACAACACTTAAGTTGAGAAAAGGGATACTGTTCTTAACTAGCAATCTTGTAGCATTTCAGACTCGCTTGAAAAACTCATTTTTAGTTGTGTTTTAACTTTTCCTTTTACTGTCTCATTGATTTACTGTCCTTTTAAATCATGTTGGGGCGGGGTAGGGGGGATGACATGTTACATGTAATTGAAACCATGATCTGGAATTTTAAAAGTACCCTCTTCTATGTGCATATTTACATTCTTGGGACCGGCAACGTAAGGTTTGCATTGAGATCCTGCATAAGGAAGATGTTTGAAACAGAAACTAATTCAGACCACCCCTGCATTCAACCCAGGGCCAGCAGCCTGACCTGCTAGCATAGGAATAAGAGGGTCTGTGCCCTCTGCAGGCTGGGAGCCAGTTAAAGCTGATTATAGCCTAGTCCCTGACAGCTGCCTCATCTGTGGCCCTAGTGCCTTTCTTGAGAAAGAAAGCCAGATCTTTTGGCATTGTGTGTATGTGTGTGTGTTGGGGAAGGGGTAGGGGGAATCAAGAGGGAAGCCAGGACCTACCTGGAAATTGAATTGGAAGAAGAGTCCTTAAAATGTATCTTTATCGGTAATTACATTTGAGAAGCCAGTGGAGAGATATTTTTTCCCCAGAGTGGAACCCAAATTCAAGCATTTGTCAATTATACCTATTCAATTTCAGCCCAGAACAAGCCTTGCTAAATGAGGCGTTTTAGACACCGAGGAAATCAGTTGATTAAAGAAATTCACGGTTCCTTCAAAGGGTCATCATTCTGGAGGCGCTTTTCCTTGGGCTGACATGCCTCCTCCTCTCCCCTCTGGGCCGGGTCTCAGGGTTGCCTCTGCCCTTCTGCCAGGTTCCTTCCTGGGCAGGCGCACCCCTGCCTGACCACAGTGCTTCCTTGCTGTCTTTGTGGCTTGGTGCGACTCTCCTCTCCCCCCACGGCTGCCCTTGCGGCTCCAGCCCTTTGTTCTCGTGCTCTCCCCAGCCGGGTGGGAAAGCTGAGCTGATTTACTGTGACACAGGGACACACATGGAAGTCCTGGTGGAGCTCATGCTGTCGTTATACAAGAAGAGAGATGCAGAGCTTCCAGGATCTTTCTTTCTCCTCCTCCTCTTTCTTTGCGTGAAACTTTTAATTTTGTGCCTAGTTTAAGAAATAAAATAAACCACCCCCAACCCAAACTTAACAATAATAAAACTACTCCAAATTGGGTAGTAGGACCTGCATTTTTGTCCTAGGGAACCGAGCTCATTAGAGCAGTATTAACCAACGCCAAGATTTTCTTTTTCTAAATTAGCGTGAGGTGTGTCAGAATTGCGGGATCAATACAATTCGAGATGGTTTAGTAACCTAGTA